AACATTATGCTATGTTTGGCATATTTAATGACTATTCCTAATGAATAAAATCCAGGCTGAAGCCAACATTCACAGTGTTCATGCTGAGAATGGTGAGGGCTACCTGACATATAGTGATCTTGATAACAAAAGGACCACCACATCACAGACAAGGAGGGAAAGTTCCAAAACGAATTCAAATTATGGGACATGCATTTGATTTGCAGTGGTAACTTAGATGAATGGTTCGTATGCTATTTCCTGCCTTTGAATGGAGAGGTGGTTTTATGATGCTAAATATATAGATAAACACAAACCATGAATCACAAAGAAGAAAGCAGAGAAATATAGGTATAGGATTGCTTTTATAGCCTTTCTAAAGGAAAGTATTTCTGTGAGTTAATGCTTATTTTAATAATGGAGGGCAAGGGGAAAGCTTTTAGCAACCAAAGATGAGATAAAATTTTCAGTTAATGAAAACAGACATTCAGCGAGACAGCAGGCAGTGAGAGTAGTGACCATATCTATCTTGTTCTCGGCTGCATCCCCAGCACCGACCATACAGTAGGCATTAAACCAGCAGATGTTGAATAAATGTGCAGGATGCTAAACACTGATGGCAGCAAAGAATAAAATAAAAACAAATGAGGAAGGGATGGGGATAAGACAACATAATGGGGATTAAGCAAGCAGGCTTGTGGAGAAAGATGTGTAGGGAGAAGAGAGAATCTTAAGCAGGTTCCATGCCCAGTATGGGGCCCCACAACGTGTGAGATTATTACCTGAGCCAAAATCAAAAGTTGGACCCTAACTGACTGTGCCACCCAGGTGGCTCTAGTGGGGATTTTTCTGATCCCCCACATAGAGGGTTTGGAAGCAATAAACATAAGTGAAAGTAAAACACATATCCCATGAAATAGTCACAATATGTATGTAGGAAGGTGTTTCACAGAGTAGCAGGACTAGAAACTACGTTTACGTGTTGAATTGAGTAGGAAAAATGCAATTTGTATGGTTCTACATTTCCTAAAACAATGTTCTAAAATGTCCATATTTTCTAAGCAATTTTTCAAGTGGAAATTTAATGTTTAGGTTTTTGCCATAGAATCATGTTGAGTGATGCTTTTAAAAATGTTAAACTGAGAAAGCATATTCGTGGCGGGGTGGGGGGGTAATAATACATGTACCATTTGACCCTTGAACAACGTGGGGGTTATGGGCATCAACTACCGGGCAGTGAAAAATCTGCCTACAAGTTTTGACTCCTTTGAATGGAAACCTCACTAGTACCAGCCGATTAACATGTATTTCGTATGTTACATGTATTATGTACAGTGCTCTTACAATAAAGTGAACTAGGGAAAAGAAAATGCTACTGAGAAAATCTTAAGGAAGAGAAAATACATATAGAGGACTGTATTGAATTTATTGATAAAAAAACTGGCATGTAAGTGGACCCAGGCAGTTGAAACCCTTATTGTTCAGGGATCAACTATACTTCATTTGTAAAGTCAAATAAAAGTACATTTTATAACAAAGGAAAGCAACAGGCTTTCTTGTTTTGTCCCTGGTCCCCTTCTCCTCTGTATCCTCTTGAAGGCACCACTTTAAACCCTCTACTTTCCAGGGCACATGGGTGGCTCAGTCGGTTGAGTGTCTGACTTCGGTTCAGGTCATGATCTCAGGGTTTGTGAGTTTGAGACCCGTATCGGGCTCTGTGCTGACATCTCAGAGCCTGGAGCCCTCTTCAGATTCTGTGTCTCCTCCCCTCTCTGCCCCTCCCATGCTCATGCTCAGTTTCTGCCTCTTTTTTTTTTTTGAATGTTTATTTATTTTTGAGAGACACAGAGACAGAACGCGAGTGGGTTAGGGGCAGAGAGAGAGGGAGACACAGAATCCGAAGCAGGCTCCAGGCTCCAAGCTGTCAGCACAGAGCCCAACGTGGGGCTCGAACTCACGAACTGTGAGATCATGACCTAAGCCGAAGTCGGATGCTCACCAACTGAGCCACCCAGGCGTCCCTCTCTGTCTCTTAATAATAAATAAATGTTAAAAAAAAAAAAAAAATCAAACCCTTTACTTTCCTAGATGACAGGTGAGGATTTTCTTTCTCTTCCACTTCCTTTTCTCCTTCCTCCACCTTCCTGAGAGTGCAAAATCACAGTTGTTCAATCTACAGTCTGTGTTCTCATGATTCTGATATAAATGCTGCTTGCTGCTGGGCCTAGTCATGCTCCATTATTACACTTCCTTTCTTATATAACTTTTGTTATTTTCCAGAGTCAACAATTATCCCGTTTTTAAAATACTCCTTTGATTAGTCATGCTATGCCTCCCTCTTCACATTGCCTCCAGTATATTTTTCGTGGTGTTCAGTGTCTTCTGACTGGCTGTAGCATGTGCTGACTAATTTAAGTATCATCCCTGCATAGGGTTAAACCTATTAGATACTCTCATCCTCATACATTCCCCTGAGATACCTCTCCTGGCACCCTGCATCCATCACATCCAATTTCGGCCAATTGCACTTGACTTGCTATGTAGATGTACATTCTAGGAAGTACTGTCCCCTCCCTTCAGTGCTAGATACCCTATCTCCTGATACCATGGGTTTCCTTCTTCATGGATTATTCCCTAATTGTGGCAGAGCATATCTACCCTGACAAAGAATGAATAGGAGGTAAATTTTGTGACTTTGCATGCTTTAAAAAAAAATTAGATTGATTCTAAGCTCACACATGACTGAGAGCTTGACTGTTTCAGAATGTGAGGGTGAAAATTATGGTATCACGGATGGTATTATTCTTTGGTCTTCAAGCTTCCATTGTCACTATTCAGAAATTTAATGCCTTTCCGATTTTTGGTCATTTGGATGTGACATACTTTTTATCTTTGGAATCTTTAAACACTTTTTCCTTGTCTCTAGTGTCTCTGGACTATTCCAATGACCTTGCTTACAGTCAGTCTTTTTTTCATTCATTGTGCTGGGTACTTTGTGGGCTCTTTCTATTTTTTTTTTTTTTTTTTTTTTTTTTTTTTTTAAGTAAGGTTCATACCCAGTGCAGAGTCCAGGGCATAGCTTGAACTCCCAAGGTGAGATCAAGACCAGAGATGAGATCAAGAGTCAGATGCTTAACTGTCTGAGCCACCCAGAGGCCCCGTGGGTTCTTTCAATCTAGAAATCATGTCCTTCAGTTCTGGGAAATATTATTGTATTATTTCTTCAATAACTGCATCTGTGGTCTTATGGTAGAATTTCTAGTTGTTGAATATTATGTCTCTTGGATGCTCTTTTTTAGGACACATGGAAATCAGGAATGTATTCTCATTAAGCAAGAAAAAAAAGCAAATGAACTTCTTTTACAATGGATAACAGTCCAATAAGATTAAAATTTTTAGTATATCTATACTAATAAAAGAAAAAGCCTTTAAAAGCCAGGTAACAGGTAAACTATTCTTCACTAAAGTGCTGATAGTTAATAATCATTAATGATACAGTTGTCTTATATGTCTAGGGCTGCATAGTTAATAAGTTTACACTTAATTCTGAATGTAACACTTCTGGGGATATAATCTGAATATAATTTAGATTTTTAATGTTTATTTTTGAGAGAGACAGAGAGAGAGGGAGAGGGAGGGGGGAGAGGGGGGAAGAGAGAGAGAGAGAGAGACAGAGAGAGAGAGAGAGAGAGAGAACAAGTGGGGAGGGGCAGAGAGAGAGGGAGACACAGAATCTGAAGCAGGCTCCAGGTTCTGAGTTGTCAGCACAGAGCCTGACGTGGGGCTCAAACTCACAAACTGTGAGATCATGACCTGAGCCGAAGTCGGATGCTCAACCAACTGAGCCACCCAGGTGCCCCGAATATAATTTTGGTTTTTAATTTTGTTGATCATATTAATTGTACTTGAGCCAAAGTTCACTCTGAAAAATTAAGGATCATTCTGGAAACCCCACCGACATTTTATATCCCATCACCATTGCTATTATGCAGAATCACCACTTAGAATATTTATTTCCATAGCATTGTTATTTTAGTTCAAGATAACCAAGTTGAAAAAGTCTAACTCAGAAGCTGGAATACTATTTAATCTCAATTTAACTTCATAGCAACAAACTCAAATTTTCACTTGAAAGAGAGACACACACACATGATATTCCTACTATGTTTTGGCAAGCACTGTGCTTTTTCATATGCTCTGGCAGACAGGTATATTACCCCTCTTTTATACATGAAGCAACCAGTGAACACAGAGGTTAAGTAAATCACCAATAGTTATTTAAAAAGTCACACTCAGCATTTTCGGGATCTGAAGCCTGTTTTCTTTCCATATACTACACACCAAAATCAATTACGCTATGGTATTCAAAATAAACCACACTAATTACTACATGCAAAGAAATCCAAAAGCCATAACGCAAGTTTTCACAGAAGGCATACATTTGATAACTTCACTTGCAAAAAAACACAACACATGACATTAGTAACTGGCTAAGTAAAATCTCAAGTTTTAAGAACAGAATTTTTTCATGCCTTATTTTGAATAATCAGTTACCTCAAATTGGTTGAAGTAGGGGTGCAGGAGTAAGCCAGAAATCCTACCAAGATATTGCCATCGGGAGAGAGAGAGAGAGAGAGAGAGAGAAAGAGAGAGAGAGAGAGAAAGAGAGAGAGAGAGACCAGAGACAGGGAAAGAAAGAATGGTCATCTTTACTATAGGTGATTTACTCAACCTTATTTTAAGGCTATAAAGTAGGAAAATTATGACAAAATGACATCTTCAGGTATGGTTTTATATATTAACTAGCTCTCATTTTGTGATCAGTTAAGACTTTCAGAAGATTGAGCAGTTATAAAACACATGCATTAAAATGTTTTTTAAATTATCATTTACATTTACATTACAAAAATAAGCAAAGCAAAATTCTGCCAAAAGTTTATAATGATCTAGAATAAAAAGCCACCCTACTTTGTCCATTGACTTAATGTGACATTGAATAAAAAACATAAATAAACAATTACCTTCACCGCTGCAGTGACAGCAGCAGTGGCTGCGAAAGCTAAACCTTGTCGCCCGAAGTTTACCACGGTCTCATAGCCCCGCTCCTTTGCTTGTACAATATAGTCATCAATCTCCTGGGGGAAAAACAAACAAACTCATGGGTATAAATTTTATTTAACAATAGTGTCAACAAGCCAAAAACAAGGACTTTTCCCCGAAGATATAATAGTTTTACTTGTTTAATAGCACAAAACATGTGATGATGTCCATTTCTAACAAATGATTTATGGATTTATAGATCTTACCCTTTCCTTTGAAGAAAGAAGTGGATGAAGGAATTTTCTATATATTAAACTTGCTCCTTTGGTATAGGGAGAGAGCAGCCATATGACAAAAGCAATCTTAAGCTCATAGTACAGGGGGAACCTAACAAGAAAAAATTCGAAAAAACCACTGGTGAAAATAAACTACAATGAGGAAATCAATCTCTCTCTCTCTCTCTCTCTCTCTCTCTCTCTCTCACACACACACACACACACACACACACACACACACACACACACCCACACCCTTTCTTTTAAGAAAGTTCAGTCATTGTATTAAGTTTTCACATGTAAAAGTGAGTGATTAAGGAAATAACTCTGTTTGAATTGACAAATTAATTTCATTAACTATAAATCAGTTAACCAAAGAGTGACCTGATCCCTGCTGAGATTCCGAAACTTCTACTACAACTGTATAAGCAACCATAGGCAAGCTGACCGCTGACTGTAGCAGTCCAGAGAGAACATTAACAGCATTTGACCACGGCAGTAAGGTATACCAGCCACCATTCTGCAGAGCCCAACGGGGGCGTCAGTACTGGACATCTCTCCAAGTGCCAGGAGGAAGCTTTGTAATACTCCAAGGGCACAAAGTTACCCCATGAACACATGTCCTTCTCTTTCTCAACACTCCCCCCAAAACTCCCCTTCCAGTCTCATTTGGCCGGAAAACGGCACTTGGCAGACAATCATTCACTTGTAAGGGGAATGGAATTACCATTGTGTTAGACTGGGAATTAGTGTCAGCTACCCATGCCCCTTTCCATGTGACTTTGCAGTGTTTTCCCTACGGGCTGAGTGCACTTCCTCGAGGAATGACTGCGGGGTTAGCCATGTGACTTACTCTGGCCAACATAATGTGAGTGTGACATATCACATGCACGCAGAAGCTTTAAATGCCCTTTGACTTCCTCACCCCAACACCCCCAACCTCTTGCTTTAAATTTTTGCTTTCTGCCATGAAACAGCTGCTCCTTCAGCCTTGGGCCTGAAACGAGAAGACACTTAAAACTGAACTGGGCCCCGCAAAGCTGCAGCCAACCTTTTGCCCTTACATAAGTTGAGCAAGAAATAAATGTTTGTTTTTCTAACCCATCATGACTTTAGGGTTGTTTGCTGCCACAGCAAAAGTGAACAATATACCACAGGGGCTAGCATCCCATGGGACACAGATTATTATTATTTTTTTTTTAATTTTTTTTTTTCAACGTTTATTTATTTTTGGGACAGAGAGAGACAGAGCATGAACGGGGGAGGGGCAGAGAGAGAGGGAGACACAGAATCGGAAACAGGCTCCAGGCTCCGAGCCATCAGCCCAGAGCCTGACGCGGGGCTCGAACTCACGGACCGCGAGATCGTGACCTGGCTGAAGTCGGACGCTTAACCGACTGCGCCACCCAGGCGCCCCTGGGACACAGATTATTAAGATACATGGTTTAACTGAACAAATCTGGGCTCTTCTGATGAGGCAGACGGGTCCAGGGCAGTAAGGAAAAGCTGTTGTGTAGTCAACAAAGGGTCTTTACCATGGCGCAGTTACAGAGGAGTTTCTGGGCTTTCGCTATTCACAGTAAACTTTTTGTACACCACTCGCTTCTTAATAATATATATAGGTGACATTTGCAATCAGGAAAATATGAGAAGTCTTGAAAAAGAGAACTTGGAAACTTAAGAGACCTAGCATGGTTTGAAATCTGTGTTCTGCCATTTAAAACCACACAAAAAACCCTCCCCCAAAACTCTCCACAAACACTTAACAGGTAAATGAATGAGCTATGGGACAGAGGAAGAATAACTCACATTTCAAGTCAGAAGAGAAAGATGGCTGCAGACACAGAGAGGTTCATAAATAAGGGCAAGTTGTTAAGAACGGTAAAGTCTGGTGACTTCTTTATTTTTTTCCTAGCAATCCAATATGACCTAATGTGCTGTGAGAATACGATGCGAATAGCAAAGCCAGAAAGACAGTTTAAAGGAGAGAACAGCAAGTGTCTGAAACAGATACAGGAGGGCAGGGAAGCAGCAAGTAAAGGGAATGGGGAGGGTCAAACTGGTACCTACATGAGAGCAGCTGAATGATGTTCTGGGGGTGCTGCATTTGTAGCCCAGGAAAGGAAACAAAGAAAGGCTAATTTAGGCTGAAGGTTTATGCAGCGAGGGCAGTTTAGGATACTGGCAAGGTATGAAGTTTAAAGATTTTGAAAGGAGGACTTCTCCAGTGATGGTAAGGTTTAGATGGAAACGCACCAGTGAAATATGGCACAGGAGATTCAAATTGTTCCCTTTGGTATCACTTCTTGATAAAATGTTAAATCCTTGAGGGTACAAACATGCTTTAATTTTGTCTCAGCTATTTGGAACAGAGCAGCCAAGGAGCTGGTGGTGAGTGGGCGTCCACGTGGATGCTGACGTCATCCAGTTTGAATGTTTGTAGTTGAGAGTTTTAAGGATGGGGAGGGAGTTTAGAATCAGATGCTGTGGGCTTCAAAGAGGGAGTCATTTAGGAAGTGATAAAAATAGCCTCAAGTCATCCTGTGGAAAAAGGGTGATGACAACTAAGTTTTTGTATTCCAAGATATTGGGACCTGTGTGGGAGGAGGGCAGGGAGCAACCCAAGGGGAGACATGAGCTGCTTTAATTGGAGGGGGTACTGTAAGGAAAGTAATGTTCTTATGGGGAAACCAGATAAAGAAAGTGAAATACTGGATAAGTAAGTAACTTGATCAAATTCACCGGGTTACCAGCCAAGGGCAGGATAAGAACTCAGGACACCTGATGAGGTGTCTATAGTTTGGCCCTTTCTCAGTGCTAGAACTTACCAAGCAACTGTTTGATCTGTTATTGTTTCAATCACAGTATAGAGAGCAAAAACAATCCAGTACATCATCCATCGGACCTGGAAATAATAAAAATACTTATGAAATAACAGATGAAAATTATTTGCAACTCTGAATAATTACATATATATTTCCACATCTATAGTTGGACCAAGCACGGAAGTTGATGGTTTAATTCTCGATAGGTTTATGTCTGAATTCCTCGTATCACAACATCAACAATCTTGGGATACAAGACAAGAATCAAAGAATAACAAATTGCCAGTCCTGACACAATATAATGTAGGAATCTGAATGAAAGAATCAGCACAATAGGATAGATTTTTCTTAACTGGAGGAAAGTTCTTTGAAAGATCTTACTCTTATCAACGTGCTTCTTTATGGATGACGATTAGCCATTTACTTGTTATATAAATAACAGCATAACAAGATATGACCACATTTAATCTTGACTTGTCTTTTAAATTTTACATTCCTTAATTCTCAATATATAGAAACTGTTCAGAAACCAAAGAACGATCCTGGATTTATTACATCCATAATGTTAGTCACCCAGTTTGAAAATCAGGTACTGTATTCTCTCTCTCTTTTTTAATGCTTAACCATTTATTTTTTAAAGGTTTATTTATTTATTTTAAGAGAGTGAGAAACAGACTGTGAGCAGGGGAAGGGCAGAGAGAGAGAGGGAGTGCAGAGCCCGACGCGGGGCTCAAACCCACGAACCGTGAGATTTTGACCTGAGCCAAAATCAAGAGTTGGATGCTTAATCAACTGAGCCACGCAGGCACCCCAAGTTAGTGTATTCTTTTCCCCCATATGTAAGCCTGTAACTTCTCACATATCATTTTCCATCTTCTACCAACACCACAATGGCAGCTGCAATAGGCTGAACGTTTGTGTCCTCCTCCCCCTCAAATCCATATGTTGAAATCCTAACCCCAAATGTGTATTAGGAGGTGGCGCCTTCAGGAGATGATGAGGTTGTGTTGGTGGAGCTCTCATAAATGGAGTTACTGTTCTTCTAATAGGGCCTCCAAAGAGATCTCTCATGCCTTCCACCATGTGGGAACACAGTGAGAAAATGGCCACCTATGAACCAAGAAGTGGGTTTCACCAGAAATCAGACCTGCCTTGATCGTGGACTTCCTAACCTCCAGAACAGTGAGAAATATATTTCTGTTGTTTATAAACCACCTAGTCTATGGTGTTTTTGTTCCAGAAATCTGGATGGACTGAGATAGTAGTTCAAGACGTTTTTACCTCTTTCCTGGAATAGAGCATCCTAACTGGTCCCTGAGACTCCAGTGTCTCTTTATACCAATCCTTTTCATTGAATGCTACCAGATTAATTTTCTTGAATTCATTTCCCCGACTATACTTTTCCACCTACTTGAGTACACAAACTCTCTTATCGCTCAAGTAGGTTGGATTTTCATTAAGGATTAAAATCTCTGCTCTCCTGCTCAATATTATAATAATAGCTAATATGTAAAACCATGCCAACTATGGCCTTGGGACTACACTAACTATATCACATATATTAAGTAATTTACTCTCCACAGCAATATTACAAGGTAGGAAACATAATTATTTCCACTATAGATAAGGAAACAGTGACAGAGAGAGGTGAAATGACTTGCTCAAGGTCATTTAGCCGGAATATGAATCCAGGCTCTCTGACCCTGGATTTGGTGCTATTAATCAATTATACTATGTAGAGAAAGAATTTGTGAGGATTGGCTAAATGTGAAATCCAAGAATAACCACTGCTTCCCTTGTTCTCTTCTAAATGAGAGGACAAAAAAATTTAGGTCTCTATAAATAGCTAGAAAATTGACCTACTATTTAGTTTTAATATAGAAGCTTGTTTGGGTATTCCATAGACAATAGAAATGAATTACAATTCAAGTGGCTTTTATGGTTTTCTATTTACATGGACAAATCAATTAAAAATAGCCACGAATAACTTTTGAAGCAATGTATTATGAAATAGAAATCATACCAATTTACTCTAATGTATAGACTCCTGAAAGCTTAAAAAAATTGCCCAAAGCAAATAGGGCATCTTATCTATATCTGAAAAACAAAGCAATGGATTTACAATTATCATCTCAAATTAAAAAACAAAACAAAACAGCCCAAATGTACTCTTTAGTTGTTCACTTTTCATGGGTTCTCTAAAATCTCTCACTGCCACCAATTCCAAGCTTTTGTCCAAATATGGGGATTTTCATCTTATGTATACTTTCTCCTGCCCCTCCTTTTTTTAAGTTAAGTGATGCTCTGACAAGCTCTGATTCACCTGCCCCTCCAGAGCCAAACACTAACTCAGCACTTTGACCTCTCAACTGTATTCAGAGGGTTAGCTTGTACCCTGATTGACTATATGCCTCTCCCCAAAAAGAAAAGAAAGAAAAGGCTGCAAACAGAAGAATGAGGTTTTATACAGCTAGAAAGAATCTAAGGAGTTTTAATTTTTTAAAACTATACAACTCTTTACTGAAAAAAACCGAGCCAATTACAAAAGAAATGGCTCCCGAGGGGCCCCACCGGTCCACCCACGGTGCGACTCTGGAGGAGACCCGAGCGCTGCATGGGCCAGAGTTTGAGACAAGACGGTAAACTCCTCTTACTTTCCTGAGGGGCCTAAATAATCAAGCCGCATCTGGCCGGTGAGCTAAGAAATGGCAGGAGTAGGAACAAGTCTATCAAGGGGGCGGCTTCTCAGTGCGCAGCGGCCTTCGGACCAGATCTTTTCGGTCCCCCGCCCCCCTCCTTGTACTCAACACGGGGATTTCAGGGTAAACTGTTCCCTTCTTGCCCAGGAAAGAGGAGGCTTAAATTGACTCTCTTCTAGAAAGCTTAGGAAACTTTCAGCAAGGTAAAATTATTTAAGTCGGTGCTTGTTACTTTTCGTTATTTCACTATTTCCCGCCGCTGTTACCGTTGTGAGTTTCCAAATGGATAACAACTCCCCAAGTAGTCATAATTTACTGGTTAATAGAGGAGAAGAGAGAGGAAAAGGGGACTGCACGGAGAGTGACTGGTGATACCTCAAAATGACTAGTTCTCTAATGAATGAGAACCGCTAAACGTCCCAGATTTCAAGCGCACACTCGCTTCAATCAAGTGCTTACTCAGTTTCCAAATGAAGTTATTAATTTTAAATCCACAAAATAAAAGTGCTTTAAAGAATGTAATGTTTATCTCTTTAAAAACCCCACTTTATATTTAGTAATGTCAAAAATAAAAAAAGGAGAAAAAGAAGGTCATGCCTTTTAAAAATAGATTTTTTTTTTCTTTTAGAGAGAGTGTGAGCAGGGGAAAGGGGCAGAGGGAGAGAGAGAGAATCTTAAACAGGCTTCATGCTCAGCACAGAGCCTGATAGGGGGCTTGATTTCACGACTCTGGAATCATGACCTGAGCTGAATCAGGAGTTGGAGGCTCAACTGACTGAGCCACCCAGGAGTCCCTAGCCATGTCTTTTTAGTTAAAACACAACAAAGTATCCAGTCAAGAGGGTATTCCTGGACATTTTCCTGGATTAACAACAATTTTATATAAGCAAAACCCCATGGTATATAAATTTGTCCTTAATGAACAAATTCTTTGATAATTTGCTCTTAAACTTAAGGTTATTTTTTGGTTGTCCTTACCAGAAATATGGATCTTAAATTATAATAGCAGGCAATAATTAAATGAATGTAATAAGTGTGTATTATTCGTGTGAGCAACCAGAAAGAAAGTTAACCTTGAAAAGACATTGCTTATTTTTCTATTAATGGATTTGGTTGGGACTTTATACCAAATGATTACTCAGCACAGCTTTTATTAAAATTACACCTCAAGGCCATGAAGCTTACTGTTTAAGGTTTTGCTCCAAGGAAATAGCAAGGAAGAAGTCAAGGTCAAAAAAAAAAAAAAAAAA